CTGGGCAGTTCTGGAAAGCATGAGTGCCACTCCTTGGTTGTGCGCCGCATTTTCATCTTCGTGGCCTGAATATAGCAGCAGTTCCCCTGTGTTGAGCTTTATCTGACCTGAGCCTATCCATCGAGACTCACTTATTCCCAAGATGGCTAGTTTGTATCTTTGCATTTCAGCAGCAACTTGGACAGTTTTTCCAGTTTCGAACATGGTCCTTACGTTCCATGTTCCTAGACTGGTGGTGGTCCTAGTGGAGAGGATGGTTGTCCGCCGGTTGGTTTCCAGTTGGCTTTGGCCACCCAGCTTCATTAATTCTCTGTTAGGAGACCCATCCTTTCCAAGGTCCGAGCTTCCTTTTGAAATCTTTCTTTGTGTTTTTGTAGCAGGGCTTTTTTTACAGGGAAGGGTTGCTAGCCCTTCGCCCAACCCTCCTCCTTTCTCACCCGGGCTTGGGACCGGCTACGGCGGAGTTGTTTTAATTTTAGCAATTTAAAAAAAAACAAAAAAAAAACACCAGGCTTAGGGTACACTTAACATAAGGGAATCATTATTTATGATGAGGCTAACACTATTTAGGATAAAGCTAACGCTATTTAAAATAAGGCTAAATCTTCTAATTCTTCTTCTTCTATATCTTAAGGGCCCACGATCAATTTACTGATCATTTTGGCTCCTATGCATGTAGATGGGATTTGCAATGTTTCTGTTATTGGTGTTGATGAGGAAATCATGCACTAGGGGTTTGAAGGCTTGAGGTCGCCTCAACCGTTCCTTTTGAAAGATTGTTCCAGTCCCTGATTGTCTTGGGCAGGAATGAGCAGCTCCTATACTGGCTTCTTGCTGGTATGAGCCAGAATTGCCTGTCATGGCCTCGTCGCTGTCTATGGGGGAGAGGGACGAGTTTCTGTTTAATACTGGAACAGTGGACCAGCCCATTATTTATCTTGTACATCATGGAGAGCCTGGATTGTCGTCGTCGTTTCTCCAATGGTGACCAGCCTAGTGTTTCTAGCATGCTGCCAACACTAGAGGTATTCAGTAGTAAATAAATGTTGCTTAGGTCGTTAAGTTGTAAAAATATTTTTTGTTTTGTTTTTTAAACTGTGTTGTAGGCCTAAACTAACATTTTTGACTAGGCTATATCATGCCTATTTAAATTTGTAAAATAATTATTAATTAGCAAATACTAATTGCAATCAGAGACAATCATTACTAGGGTTACCAAAAATCCTCAGATGAAAAAGAGAACACTCAAAATTTTCATTAAATCCAGTTACCAACTTGTAGCCAGTTACTAGGGATATGCTAATATTAAGTTAAACGACATAAAATATTGTTCTTATGGTAAATAGTTAAAATTATTATAAACTAGAATTAAGTGAATGTTCAGTACACATTACATTACAATGACTGATTTTTTAGTGCAGTATCAGAATTGGGTAATATTTTTTTTAATAAGCAACAACTGCAGTCCATTGATTTATAGCTGTGACAGTGCTTGAAAGCGCCAAACCACAATATTATAACATAAGCCTTCAGCTGCTAAAACAGATTCATAGCTTTTCGAACCTGGTTTTAAACCCTTTTATGAAATATTTGCTAACTTTGGTAAATGAAGTTTTTCTGAGAACACTATTAACATTCCTTGGCGTATTGACATGCACCTTTAAATCAAGTGCAACTTTATTGGCAACTGACGTATAAGTTCCGCTGCCGAATGTCAAACATTCAACTTCCCTTCATAATTTCATATCAAACTGCACAAAAACCTGAGTATTGAGTTTTCAGTACTTCTAAAATCAAACACTTGTGTTTGGGCATTTTTGAAACCAAATATTTTTTTTGTTTAACTTGAAAAATAAATTATTTTCCAATTATCATGAAGTTGCGTTTCGGTTATGCGTTATGTCATGTTTGAGTTTGAAAAAATGGAATCCGGAACCTGAAGTTTTTGTAACCCTTACCATTGAACTAAATATTGCTGGCGCTGGTGTTAAGTTCATGGAAAAAAATTGAGCCATCATGTAAAAGAAAGTAAAGTAAGAAGGCAGAAAGTATTGATCAGGAATGTACAGGGGAAAAACCAGAAAAAAACCAACATATTTCTGGAACTCCACCCAGTCCAGGCAGACTCGGCACAGCCTTCACTAGATTACCACAATGAGGACATAATGACAATCAATGATGCTAATGTCTGGGGAAACCATAATCCTTACAATTACACGACCTAAATAAAAGTTAACACAATGATTGAATGAATAAAAAATGAATTGAGAATTGATTGTCAATGTTGAATGAAATAAATTTTTATGTTCACTCAGCAGTACTCAGTCAAATTTAAATTTCAGATAACTCAGTTTTTTAAAACTCCAAAGTTGTTTTTAACTTCATGAAATGCAATATATACCTAAAACA